GGGGAGGTGGAGGGATTTGGGTAGCTGTGGATACTGGAGACAGAAAACTTAAATGCTGTGACTTGTGTATTTTTCACATTCCTCTTTTTTTTAATCACACATGATGTTTTAATACTGTCCCGAATTCTTTTGATTGAGGTGTGAGACAAACAACCACTGGTCCGGATGTGTCAAAACAATGATTTTATTAAACACACGCGTGGAAAGAAATACACTATCACAATTCTCAGCATAAATCTCCGCTAGAAAGCACACTTCAAATGGTTTTTATATGTCAGGGTTCACACCCCCTCTTGTGTCAGGCAGATACGTGTCATGCATAAATTACAGTTAATGAAAGTCACCTTTAACACACCTAAAGAGACATTTTCACCGTCTCTGAGCCAGATGTTTCCTGTGGATGTTCTCCTTCTCGCTTATCTCTGGAACATCACACATTCTGCAAAATCTGTTGCTTATGCAGGTACAAATTGCAGTTACAAGCAAGTCTCACCTCTACCCTAAAAAATAAATCTACGTAATGTCTGTGTCTGTAAGCGTGCTTGCTTTGACCTTTCTGCACGGTGTTACCTTTCACAATATGTCATCTAGACAGTCAGATGAAGCTTGTAACCCTCAAAAACAGAATGCCAACTCTTTTATGCGCACATTTGCAGTATGTGTAATAATATAATTAAAACTACATGTTTAATAAATGTTTTCAAAAAATGCCACTACTCAAAGATCTCGTTGTCTCACTCCTCGGTCCATTCAGCCACCTCCACCAACGGCATTATGGACCCTGGACCGATTGGCCCCGAATCCACAGCCCTATACATACACAGCTGTATACATACAGCGTAATAAAATGTCATTAAAATTCAGCCTTGCAGAAGGCTTATGTTATCTAAAAGTGGAGCCTTCCCTTTTTCTCAATTTTTTTCTCCTTCATTACAAGTTACAGGTCAAATTTAACAAAAAAAAAATTTAAACATCAAATTCCAAGGTGTCACTTTGATGCCACATGCTGGTTTGCAAAGTCCTCAAATTTGGCTGAGGTAGACTTATTAAGATACGACATTTCAAGTCATAGGTGGATCTGATTGTACAGAAGAGGATTATGGCCACTCTTTTCTCAGAATTCTGGAAAAGAAGAAAAAAAGATGTGCTCTCTTTTTTTCTGGTGGCCCTAATCTTCTATTTTCTTCTGTATAATTGAGAAACCAAGCAACACTGCATTTATAGGCTGTAATATAGGCTTGTTGTTCTCATATTTGTGCAACAACACAAGAACACAA